AGCAGTGCTCCGGGGGGGCGGGGCTGCGCACTCCGGCGGATCAAAGCAAGTTCGATGTAACGCGGTTTCACCTATAACGCGGTAAGATTTTTTGGCTCCCGAGGACAGCGTTATATCTGGGTAGAGGTGTATATATTTTCTAATTATCAAATTATATCAATGAATATTAATAAATAGAAATGTTTATATATAGATATCAGTTTATTCATGAAATACTGTATATTCCCATAGCATTTTTATTTCCTCCACCTATAGCCTTTTTAAATCTAATAAAGCCATACTGGTGACTTATAAAGGAAAAGTAAATAACGTAATCCCTGTTAAAGCCCACTAAGGTGAAAAAAAAACATGTCACTATTATTCAAATGGTCTTATGCTTCTCATTGCATACGGTAGAGGGCCTGAATATCAGAGCAGTAGAGTATCAGAGTAGAATATTCACTTTTATAGGTAGTTAGTTTTGATGACCCTGTTGCTAGCCCTAGCATTGCAAAATGTTGTAATATCTTGATTAGTTATCCATATTTGGGTATATTCTGCTCTCAGTTGTACCTATTGACTATAGTGTTTAACCTATTGACTATAGTGGGTTTGCACAGGTGTAGCAGAGAGAAGAATTTGAACTATTACGTTTATTTAGAATTTGATACGGAGATATGGCCTTGCTGACCATTTCTGGTAGTTTGGAGATAGTCATAACTTCTTACTCTTCTAACAAAGTAAATAGACAAAATTCATCTGAAACTTAGAACAATGAGGTATGATGGTCAACATTTATAAAGAAAATATTTGCTTTATTTATTACATACTTCTCTGGTGATTATCACTATAATGTGTGAACACACAATACCGTGCCATGACATTACAGTCTAATTACAGAAAAATATTACAATGAAACTAACTTTATGCTAAATTAAATGTTTCCTTTATAATGTTTATCATTGTGTATAACACTGATCATTGTGTGTGTAATATATTTTCCTTTTCTGAAACCATAATGCCATAAATACACAGAGAAACTTGAAGTCCTTAGGCAAAATTCCAATTGATTTCAAGAACATACGCTTTGATTTCATTGGGATTATTCTAACACTTTGCAGAAATATTTTCTGTATTGGATAGTAATACTTCTCATTTTGAGGAACATCATTCATTTTAGCCCAAAAGAGACCTACATTGGACATATGTTGTGTGAAACATTATTAAAATCTATTTACTTCCAAAATAAATAATCAGAAAACCAAAGTTACTGTAAGAGTTATTTACGCTAAAGGAATAAATCAGATACCATCTTAAGTTTCCTCTGTGACTATTTTTTTTTCCCTTTTCCCTCATTTTGGATCTTTGTTACACACCTAGTCCCTAATTTCAGCTTTGGCAGGTTGAAAGAAGTGGCACTACTACTTAATAAAGCTATTGTATTGCTACTTAATAAAAACATCTTCACTTTTATTTGTGATCATAAATAAACAAGAGGGATTGGCTGGGACACATGACTTACAAGGAGAGGTTTACACAGGGCCGGCTCTGGCTTTTTTGCCACCCCAGGCAAAAAAGCCTCCGGCCGCCCCCTCCCCCCCCCCCAGGGGGGGGGGGGGGGGGCCGGCGGGGCCCCCGGGGGGGGGGGGGGGCCCGGCGGGGGGTCTGATCTCCCCGGCGGCCAGAGGGCCGGGGGGAAGGCGGCGAGCCCGGCTGTGGCCCCGCTCTCCCCGGCGGCGGGAGCTGGAGCGCCGCGCCGCCCCCCTCCAGGTGCCGCCCCAAGCACAAGCTTGGTGGGCTGGTGCCTGGAGCTGGCCCTGGGTTTACAGAACTGGGCTTGTTTAGTCTGCGGAAGAGAAGAGTGGGGGGGGGGGGGATTTGATAGGAGCCTTCAACTACCTGAAGGGGGATTCCAAAGAGGATAGAGCTCGGCTGTTCTTGGTGTTGGCAGATGACAGAACAAGGAGCAATGTTCTTAAGTTGCAGTGGGAGAGGTCTAGGTTGGATATTAGGAAACACTATTTCACTAGGTGGGTGGTGAAGCACTGGCATTGGTTACCTGAGGTGTGGAATCTCCATCCTGAGAGGTTTTTAAGGCCCTGCTTGACAAAACCATGGCTGGGATAATTTGATTGGTGTTGGTCCTGCTTTGAGCAGGGGATTGGACTAGATGACCTCCTGAGGGCTCTTCCAACCCTAATCTTCTATGATTCTATGATTTATATGAATAATGGAAACATTCACAGTTCCATTAGATAGTATTATAAATACAATAAACCCCCCAAGAATTAGAAGGGATGACCTCAATGAGACAAACCCTCATCCTTCAGGGCATAAACCAACTGATGGATGAACTTCTGCTCTAAACATTTTAATTCTGTAATTGTTTACTTAGACATTTTTGCACCTTTTTCCCAAAAGATGTGGTAATGACTATTTTTGGAAACAGGAAACCATTGCCCCAATCTGTTTGCAAAAGTCAGACAGTAAAATAATTTCAGCAGATATATTTGTATAGAGATAATATAACACATTACAATTTATCGGGGAGAGTTTATTGCACAGTACAATAGAAAGGTCCTTCATCATAGTTTAAGTGGACCTTTTTTTAAAAAAAAAATGTGTTATTTTTGCAGGGCTTCACTAAACCAACAGTCCAAAGACAATATTTTTCTTATGTCATCTCTCATTACTCTATATTGCTGTATTTGAAAGGATAGATTTAGATTCTTCTAAGGAACAAATGTATTACTGTATGTTTATCAGAACTAAGTAAGTATATGTTTAATGATGAGACCTATATTTCAATTGGAGCTGCATGGTCCTGAACGAGAATATTGCCCCCTGGTATTAACACTAACATCAGGTCTTACATCCTGTGCATCCATCAGATCATTTTTTTCCTTTCTGTTCAACTACCTTACTCCTGTATGATGATAGTTGTTAATGAATGGATAGTGCTGTTAACTACTCCCTATTGTATCTCTGACTTTTTTAACTTAAAGTTACATTCACAAGTCATAAGGTCATTTCAGTATAGGAAGTCTCTGATAGCAATATTAAATGTTACCCAATATGATCCAATTGCAGTTCTCAAGGTAAAATCAGAAAGAGTAGTCACTGAATGTATTGTAAAACTGCTAAAACACTTTTGCTTCAATTTATTTTTTAAACAGGAACAAACTTGATGTAGAATTATCCATTTGTTTATTTCACTTTTTAACGTAGAACCAGTTAAGCAGCATCCAAACAAGTAACAACAGTCATCAATTTTAACAAATATTAAAACAAAAATTGAAAACATGCCAGACCTGCAAATAAATAAATAAAATAATTTTAAAAGCCAAATTTAAAAAAGATTACAACAAATGAATAAACAAAAAAATCTACGCAAAACATGATGTATCAAGATCTTTTACTCTAGTAGTTGTTCACTAGTGACTGTAAATTCTGACATTTGTATGAATGTCCTGATGACTTGAGGCTATGCATTTGTTTAATATAATTTGCAGCATTTAAGATCGACATAGTAGGAGATAGTGACCTTGTTTTATTTCTATCAGTTTGAGGGATTTTAGGGCATATTCTTGCGCTGGCATCTACTATTTCAAACCCCTGCACCCATGCAAAATCCTATTGAGTTCGATGGGACTGTGCACAGGAAATGAGGTCTGTGCTATTGGATTCTGAAGTGGGATCAGGACCACAGGTTTCTCTATATAATGATTCCGACATGTACCTTGCTGATATTGTGTTGATGTGAACAATTCTGTGAACTGATTTGCATGTCATTTTCCTTCATTAATTCAGAAACTAATCATATAGACATGAGGTAAAATCCTTCCAACACTAGCAGTCACAATAGGAATCCTTATGGTAATAAGCAGTAGAGCCAGGCAGCAAGGGTTTACAGGATAGGACCTCAGAGTGCTTTGGATGTTTAAAGTATTGTACAAGCATTAACTAATTACTCCTGACAACACTCCTGAGAGGTAGGTATCATGTCCCCATCCCCCATCGTACAGATGAAAGAACTGCGGCAAAGAGGTGAAGTGAGTTGCTGAAGGCTGTAAAGCAAATAAACTGCAGAGCGAGGATTAGAATTGAGACATTCCAAACTCCTAACCCTTTGCTCATTCCTCTGGACCATGTTACTTCACAGAAGTTAAAGTGCCACTCTCAAGTATTTAAAAACATTTTTCTCAATGTCTATTTTATTTTTCATACTCTTACAGGCTTGTAAATTATATTTTTTTCCTACCTGTTATGCCCACCATCAATATATCCTCCCCCACCCCCAAGCTGGCAAATATTGAACTTTTTTTCCTGGTAAAGCAGAAGCCAATAAGTATGTATGTATGTATGTTTGTTTGTTTATCACAGTTTACTTCTATGTTATATTTCTGTGTTGTCATAAGTATCATCAGTGAAGTCCAGTGGTTCCAGGAGTGTTTCCGGACCGTGGTTTCTTAGTTAATTTGTGTTTCTAGCAGAAAAATAAAAATAATAAAGCTATCAATAGCTGCTTTTTCATTTTTGGATTTTTCAACTTCTCACTGATATGAAAGAGAACAGAGAGAGACACTGTAATCTTATTTACAATGATTTTAAACCAATATAATTCCATTGACTTGATCGGAGTTACTCCTCATTTACAACAGTGTGAAATCAGAATCAGGCTCTTTAGAATTGACAGACAGATTATATCAATCTTAAAATTATAATTTTGGGGATCTAACTACTTGACAGTGTTCCTTTAAGCATGTACTTATTCCCTTGACCATGGAGTCTAGAATCAGAACTTCTCTTTTGTTTAGATTTTTTTTTAATTGTATATTTGACAGATTTTGAAATTGCTTAGTCATTAATATTTATTTCACCATACATTATGAGATGTTTTCACAACAAATACTGTACATTCAGTCATAATTATTAATGGTGTTTTATATATAAAACAAATACACATATACGTATATATCTATATATGAAACCCTTTCTCTTTCTTGAATCAATGTAAACAGAGCCCAGATGGCCGTATAGAAGTCAAAGGGCAGCATGGAAAATCGTCACTGCATATTAAAGATGTGAAGTTGTCAGATTCAGGGAGATATGACTGTGAAGCTGCAAGTAGAATTGGTGGGCATCAAAAGAGCATGTACCTTGATATTGAATGTAAGTTCTAACATTTTGTTTTCTCTTTAAATTTGTTTTAAAAGAAAAAAAAAGTACATTCTTAATGGAAGATCAAATTTTACTGACAATTCATGCTTAAACTCGAATAATTTAAGAAAAAGTGCCCTTCCAAGGTTAGCAATTCTGAACACACCAGATGAAATCCTGGCCCTAGTGAAGCCAATGAGATTTTTGCCAATAACTTCATGAGGGTCAGCGTTTCACCCATAATGATATTTTGGTGGCTTCCCTCACTGCCACACCTTATGACTGAACTTGGTAACTTTTTCAAGACTTTCAGGCTGGTGGAGACTAGCTGTGGGTGCAAATGTTTTGGGGAATAAAGTAATAACTCATCTGAGCTGCATCTCAGTCTTGAATTGAAGTTTCTAAAACTGTCTGGAATATTCTCTCCCTCTCTTTCCATTACCTCTCCTCCCCTCCCCCCCCCCAACTATACTCCTACTTTTGTTATAACCATTCTTGGAGTTCAAACATGTGACAAATCTCCCTGCCCCCACTGATCTTGTCACTTCCAATCAAAATTTTGTTTGGTGGAAACTTCACAAGCAACAGTAGTGATATTTGTTCATTGGTATCTGAGACTGATTGGTATATTGGACTTCATCCGAAATCCACTGAACTTGATGGGAATCTTTCTGTTGACTTCAGTAGCAATTGGATTGGGTCTATAGTGGGGAGGAAGGGAAGATGAATAATGATTGTTTTGCTTTTGCTGAATCCCAGTTGGGTGACTCCTAAAGTAGCATTGACAGAGATCTCACAGTAGGCTGCATGTGCCACCTTTTTGATAGGAAGTGAGTCTAAAAAGACAAATGAAAAATATTCAGACTGAAGAATTGGAGCAAGTAATTTATGCTGGATGAAGGAGATGGAGAGATTTGCCAACACAAATAGAACTAAACAAATACAGTAGAAGCTGTTAAACTGAATTATGAAAAATAGCTTTAATGCAGTTATTCATGAACAATATTCATTTGGAGACTTCTGAGGTTTGTGAAATACTTTTATGTTTTTGAGAGTGTACTCTCTTAAAAGATGCATTCCTTGAACATCTCAGTGTTACCCCTCAGTGCACAGAAAATATATTCCTTTGTGTACATTTTAATTTAAAATACTTTTGCTGTGTCGCTGGTGTAAGGAACAAAAAATGAATACGCTGATGTGTTCCTTTAAAATCCTGTTGTTAAGATCTGTTTTCCTGTAATACAGATCTAAGGTGACATGAGATATATTGTTCAATTGAGATTTTAAAATGGCTACTCTTTTTAAAAATAATCAATTTTACTTCTGCTTTTATATTCTGTGTCCAGTGTAGGGTTATGCAATTACAGAAGTGGTTCATGGGCCACATTATGTGAAACATATGAGCTACGGAAACTTAAGAGCACATTAGAAGCACAAAATTAATACTGAAGGGCACATTAACATAATCTCTAGATGAATACAATGGAATAATGTAGTCAAAGGTCTCTGTCAAAGTAAGAGTTTTAGTATGATAGCAGATGTCCTAAATTGAATTGTAGTACCGTCTTCCTTCTCAATGCGAGGCAGTTGTATGGTAGATTTACTTTTAACACTTAAATAGAACTAATCTGATGGTATTAAAATCGAAAATTTATTAGCATTTGCTGTTAAATCTGGATGTGGTTAACTGCTCAAACTAATTTGAAATGCCAGAAAACTTTCTACAGTTCGAATTGAAAAATCTTTGAACCCATTAGCAGGTAATTGGTGGGTTTGTTTGTTTGTTTGCTGGGTTGTTGGTTTTTTTTGGACACTTAATATGTTAGCACCATTTAAGATGACAACATTTCAAATGTATAATGCATGACTTGTTGTTTTGACCTCACATAGCATTATATGATTAGACCTGATGAAAATGCTATCCCGTTGACTGTTTTATTGACTCTTTACACTTTTTATATTATGTGACGGGTTGGATCACAGAAACCCCCTTGGGAACTGCCACCCAATGTACCAAGACTACCCCTGCTCCTGTTTTCCCTGCCACCTCAGGACTCCAGCACCCTGTCTTACTGAGTCAGACACTCCCGTCTGCTTCAACACAGACCCAGGGTCTGAATCACTTGTCCCAAAGCTGCAAGTTTACCTGAAAACAGCTCACAGAAGTGTGCTTGTCTTTAGCACTCAGATGCCCAACTCCCAATGGGGTCTAAACCCAAATAAATCCGTTTTACCCAGCATAAAGCTTATGCCGAGTAAACTCATAAATTGCTCCCCCTCTATAACACTGATAGAGAGATATGCACAGTTGTTTGCTCCCCCAGGTATTAATACATACTCTGAGTAAATTACTAAATAAAAAGTGATTTTATTAAATACAGACAGTAGGATTTAAGTGGTTCCAAGTAGTAACAGACAGAACAAAGTAAGTCACCAAGTAAAATAAAATAAAACGCGCAATCTATGTCTAATCAAACTAAATACAGGTAAGTTCCTCACCAGTTCCAGAATGCTCCCTTTTACAGGCTAATCTCCTTTCAGCCTGGGTCCAGCAATTACTCACACCCCCTGTAGTTACTGTTGTTTGTCCTAGTTTCCTTCAAGTATCCTGGGGGGATGGAGAGGCTCCTTCTTTAGCCAGCTGAAGACAAAATGGAGGGGTCTCCCACGGGTTTAAATAGACTCTCTCGTGGGTGGAGACCCCCCCCTCCTCCCTCCTATGCAAAGTCCAGCTCCAAGATGGAGTTCTGGAGTCACCTGGGCAAGTCACATGTCCCTGCATGACTCAGTCTTTACAGGCCGAAGCCATTGTCCACATGGTATCTTGCATGTCTCCAGGAAGACTTCTTATGTGGATTGGAGCATTCCAAGATGCATTGTTCTCCAAGTGTTTCCTGATCAGGTACTTAACCTGGCGAATTCCTTCCTAAAGAAGCTGACCAAATGCCTCCCAAAGCTTACTTAGAAACCAAGCAAGCATACAGCCCATATTCTTAACCTCAAGTAGAAAATGATATATATGTACAAATAGGATGAATAGATATAGTAGACCATAACCTTTACGGAGATATGTTACATGGCACAGGCAGCACAAAACATATTTCAGTTACGTCATACATACATTTATAAGCACCCCCTCCCCATAAAGCCTTATGGGGTACACTGTCACATATTACTTTTTGAATCTTTGTAAGGGACTCAAATACTTAAGAATGGTTCTATGAGACTGATAACTGAAGTACAATATTTATTTTCAAAGCAAGTGCTCTCTGGTAGCAGGAGTGCAAGTTTCTCCACATTGCCTAAACAGTGAAACTTATTCATGACATGAAGGGAACACCTCTAGTGATGAGAGAATAGTTCTGTCTTCATGCCCATTCTGATTAGACTGCCATTCGTAGTGAAGATTTTTATCATCGGAACACTTGTCCACGAGCAAATGAACTGAGACCACAACTTAATTTGGCCAAACCACAAAGATCTTGTCAAATGATAATGACTTCTACTGACCTTACCCATATTTAAATTAGTGTCCTAGAGATGAAAGCTTCTTTATATCAATAATATCAATCTCCCAAGTCATCCGGTTCCCATAATAAAACTATTTTTAACAAAATGATCTCTTCACAGGACACTCTTGCTATTTTTACATACAACAATCTTGTCAAAATCATCAGGAACAAAATGTAGTTCTCTCATCCACAAATAAATTCCTTCTCTGTAGCTGATGTAATATATCCAGTAGCTGCCTCTTGTTTCCAGTCACTTTCTTGATGATATTTGGGCTGGAGATCTCCTCTGACAACCCTACTGTTCCACCAGTAAATTATGCTGTACTCCTACAGCAAAATGGTGAAAAGGAGTGATTCTTTATGAGATTCTATGAAGTCTGTATAGAACCGATTCTTTGTACAGGTCTGTCTCATCTTATGCGAGGGTTCCGTTCCGCGGTTAGCGCGTAAAGTGAAAACCGCGTATAGTCAAAATTACATTGAGTTAAATGGCGGGCGGAATCGCCCGCAATACAGGCACAGTATTAAAATTGTTATATTTCTCTTTTTTTTTGTTTTTGTTTTTGTCGACCGTGTAAAGCTGAAATCGCGCATGTTAAATGCGCGTAAAATGTGACAGATCTGTAGAATCTTTGTGATTTTCCAGATTACTTAAATTGATCGCCTTTTTCAGCAGTTCAATAGTAATAACAACAATGTCCTTTACACCTTCTAAATATTTTTAAAAACAAATTTACTAATCCCCATGCAATTCTTGGAAATAGGTATTATAGTTATTGTATTGCACACTTTACTGAAAACATAGTATTTCCCATTTTACATATGAAGAAAGTCAGATACAGAGAAGTTAATTGACTTGCTGAAGGCTACAGAGGGAATCCCCGAGTCAATGTACTAATCTACCAATGTCACACTGGGATTATCCCAGAGTTTTGAATTCCTTGGTTTATATACTAGAATAGCATTTGCCATTAATTTTTTTCATTAAAGCCAGAGACATAAATGTATACTACACTGTACCAGTGGGAGAACACTTTAACCTGTCTGGCCATTCTATGACAGACCTGCGGGTGGCTATCTTAAAACAGAAAAACTTCAAAAACAGACTCCAACGAGAGACTGCTGAGCTGGAATTGATATGCAAACTAGACACAATCAACTCAGGGCTAAACAGGGATTGGGAATGGCTGAGCCATTACAAACATTGAATCTATCTCCCCTTGTAAGTATTCTCACACTTGCTTCTTATCAAACTGTCTGTACTTGGTTACCTTGATTATCACTTCAAAAGTTTTTTTTCTCTTACTTAATTGGCCTCTCAGAGTTGGTAAGACAACTCCCACCTGTTCATGCTCTCTGTATGTGTGTATATATATCTCCTCGATATGTTTCACTCAATATGCATCCGAAGAAGTGGGTTGTAGCCCACGAAAGCTTATGCTCTAATAAATTTGTTAGTCTCTAAGGTGCCACAAGTACTCCTGTTCTTTTTGCGTATAC